GACCTAATATGCATCTTGCAGACGCCCTCCCATAGAACGTACGTCCTGGTTCGACATCTCATCTATTCATGTACTGGAAGGAGAGCGCCATGGGCATTGCTTGGGCCTCTGTAACGCAAGTTGCAACCATAGGATGCCGTGAAATGCTCGTATCGGCATCTCTCAGGCAGCATCTACACCTTGTTGCGCATCTCCGCTCGCCTAGGCAGCCTCTGATGGACATCTACATCATGTTTTACCTCACTGTTTAACAGACCAACAGTTGAATAACTATACTGACTGCAATTGTAGTCATATATCGTCGTCACCTTCGGTCAAAGCACTTCTGGATCCCTGCCTCTGTCGAAGGCATTGTGCACACCCGCGGGTATATAATTGAGCAATTCCTCTTGGCCATTTCTACTCTCAATACCATGCCATCGTTCTGACCTGTGTCCGAACTCAACATATTTCACATTTTTCGTTTATCATTCTCAATCTATCAACATGCTTTGGGAAAAGCCAGGTGGCGGTGAACCAGCCCAGACTACTTGGGACCTCAAGGAGCCCTTGACGGTCAAATGGTCCCACGTCTCGTGAGCTTTTGCCCTCAGAACTATTTCCTTACAATTGCTGACTGAAGCAGTGGAGAGGAGAACAAGACCTTCTGCATCTACCTCACCAACCGCGTTGACTATCCTCCAGTGACCGAGCTGGTCCTGCGCTACGCCGTCATGGGCCGAGATGAGGTTACTATTCCTCCACCCGGCCCGATGGATGTCCCTCTTAAGTATGTTATGCCTGATATACTAAAAAGTAGACATAGTGTTAATTATCATTTCCAGTTGCAACTACCGCCTTTGGGCTAGTGCTTGTGGAGACCCTGAGACTATCTATGCTGAGACGGAGCTGTTCTGCATTGACGTTAGAGACAATGCTGATCTCTAGTTGATGCCCGGCTATTAAACTTGCTGCAGTGCACAGGGTATCTTCGATTGTGATTTAGCTTGAATTGTTGAGAAAGTTGATGTCTACGATACGCCAATCACCGTTGCATGTCCAGTAGTGTTGACCTTTAAGCAGAAAACTGCTACTATGTAGTGATTTTATCTCCGATATTCGACCGAATCTTCCTTGTAGATGCTTTATTAATCATCAAATGAAGTAAATTTGTCTTACAAAGGATGGCAGTGATTCGAGACTCGTTCTTTGATGGTGCCATAACTTCGGCCGAACTCTCGGTCCAAGCCAGTATATAGACCAGCTGTCTTCGGCAGTGTTCACTCCAGAACTACAACTTCAGTTCACACGAACCATAAGAGTATTTTACTTTTACACTTTAGCGTTTCTTCCTCATCCCAACTACGAAAATGGTCAAGGTTGCAATTGCTGGAGGCTCTGGAGGTACACTCTTCCATCGTTCCTGGTCTCACCAGTTATATCACTGACACTCGAACAGGTGTTGGCCGAGAGGTTATCGACGCTCTTATTGCTGCGAAGAAGCATACAATCATTGTTCTGACCAGAAAGGTTCGTCATGTCCGATAACCGTAGTCAATGGAAGTGTTGTAACATTAACCAGTCTATGCAGGATACTGAAGCCCAAGAACCTACACAAGGCATCACTTGGGCCAAAGTCGACTACAACGACACCACTCAACTAACCAAGGTTCTTCAAGGAGTGCACACCATTCTCTCCTTCATCACCACGCAGGATGATCCCAAAAGCACCGCTCAGAAGAACCTCATCGATGCGGCTGCTCAGGCCGGAGTGAAACGGTTTGCGCCGAGCGAATGGGCTTCGTGAGAACTTTATCCCACTTCTACTATCATCCAAACACTAACTTAGTATAGCTCCCGCTTGGACTACCTGGACTGGTATGCCTACAAAGGCGAAACGCGCCGGTATCTCCAAGAGCTGAACAAGGATAAGAAGGTACGATCGTACAACGTTCTACCAGGCGGAACATCTAACACAACCCAATCAGGTCCTCGAGTATACCCTCTTCCAACCCGGCGTGTTCGTCAACTATCTGACCCATCCACATCAATCGGCCCGCCACCTGCCCTCAATCGCAACCCCCTTCGACTTTGCTAACCGCCGAATGATCCTGGTGGACGGGGACGATGGAACCCGTATCACCTTGACGGCTGTTCAGGATATTGCTAGAGTTGTGGCCAGAGCCGTTGACTATGAAGGCGAGTGGCCAGTTGTTGGGGGTATCCAGGGTTCCAACATCTCCATCGGTGAATTTATTGCTCTAGGGGAGAGAGCTCGCGGTAAGTTTGTTCTCTACAACATCACATAGATACAATCATGTCCTGATTCATTATCTCCAGGTGGGCTCCCATTTACCATTGAGCGAGTGAAGGCAGAAGATTTGGAAGCTGGGAAGTGGGAGACGTCGTGGACACCAACAGTGGATCATCCTTCTATTCCGCCCGAGCAGGCGGCAGTGGCCTCGAAATATATGAGCAGTCGGATTCTTTTGGCGGTTAATGCTGGATCCTATGCCGTTTCGGATGAATGGAATAGTCTGCTGCCCGACTTCGAGTTTACTCCCGTCGAGAAGTTCTTGACTGAGGCGTGGAAAGGAAAGGCTTGAGTATGCGGTTGAGAAGGTTGTTACGGATAAGCAGGTAGAAGATTTTATCTAGCTTAGTAAATATAACACGTCTTTCGAGACGTTATCCAGCCATAGCGTATTGTACTAGGGCTGATGTGAGCATGGCGTTATTCCGCCGAGCTCGGGCGAATCCAACACCTTAGCCCGAGATCCTTCCGCAGAGCATCTCATTATTCCCTGCCCCCTCACATTTTGACCGAGAGACACTGAAGCCTGGCTGATAGTGACTGGAACGAATATGGATAAACACTCCCAAGAGAAACGGAGAAAGGTCCGCAAGGGCACAAGGAGCTGCTGGGAATGCAAGCGGCGCAAGGTTCGCTGTATCTTCAGCTCCTCCTCCAATACCATCTGCAATAACTGCAGGCGACGGGGATCTACATGCATCAGTCAGGAGCTCCCAGACAGCCCTATACCTACAAGCAAAGACTTGGTCGATGCTCGACTCGACCGAGTAGAGAGGATACTCGAACAGCTGGTTAACCCGGGAAGCCGAGCGCTATCTTCTGAGAATTATACCGAAACCCCTCCCAGTTTGGGGACATTGGACAGTTATGTGGACTCTAGTCGAGAAGAACAAGTGAGTCCAGTCCTCATGTGCTTATTTCAATTTTCCCATGCTGATACTTCCAGGAATCGTCCCCAGAGAACAACATCCCCACAGGCCCATATGAGAGCATAAAGCGCGACCTTCTCGCGGCCTGGCCCAGCCAGAGGGAGCTCAACCATATCTACAATCTCCCTGTTGGCATAACAGTATATATGAACTATGAAATCTGTGTCCCTAATTCCACCTTCACAGATGACAGCCTACCATCTCCCCAGGATATGCTCCAATTACCAGAACCACACTCCCACCCCGTCCTAATCGCACGCAAACTCCTTATCCTGGCCATTTTCCTCCAAGGCATCTCTCCACCGTCCATCAAAAGCTTATCTGACCTATCCATCTCCCACCACGACATCATGACCCGCGCCGTCACCCGCGCCACCAGACTAGTAACCACAAACGACGAGCTCACTACCTCCATCGAAGGCCTGCAATGCATCATGCTGGAAGCCCAATACCAAAATTACGCCGGAAACCTCCATCAAGCATGGCTAGCCACCCGCCGAGCCACAGCCATCGCACAAATGCTGTCGCTCCACCGAGGGCTTCCCCCATCATCCCTAAAGGTTTTCGATCCAGCAACCCGCAACACTCTGAATCCAGATTACCTGTGTTTCCGCCTCGTCGAAATGGACCACTACCTCTCCCTGATGCTCGGCCTACCACCTACCAATCTCGAAGCACGGTGCCTCTGTCCTAAAGCCCTAGAAACATGCACACCTCAAGACCGCATGCACCGCATGCACAGCATTATAGCAGGCCGTATCCTCCACCGTACCGAAGCGGACATCAACAATATCTCCCTTACGAACGACATCGACCAGATGCTCCAAAATGCAGCTGCCCAAATGCCTCCCCAGTGGTGGCTCACCCCAGACCTAACACCCAACCAGACCCAAACCACCATCATTCAGAAAACCCTCCGTCTGAACGCCCATTTCACGCACTACCAACTCCTCCTCCGTCTGCATCTTCCTTACATGCTCCGCTCATCCCGAGATACTGCAGTGTACGACCGAAGCAAACTCACCATCATAACCGTAAGCCGGGAGATCCTGGCGCGGTATACCGCTTTCCGTGCCTCGAATCCGGCGCATTACTACTGCCGCGGGGTGGATTTCATTGCTTTTGTGGCGATGACGGTGTTGTGTATTGCGCATATCGACTCTTCAAATCATCTCCAACGCGAAAAGCAGGGAGGAATAGGAACAGTTGTCAGTTTCCTCGCGCATAGTCGACCTAGTGATCGCGGGATTATGGAGCGGACACTCTCTATTATTGAGGATATGGTGGAGTCAGGGTCAGGGACGGATGAGATTGCGGGGAAATTGGCGGGTATAATGAGGCATTTGTTGGGGGTGGAGGAGAGTGCTGCTGGGGGTGTTGGATATGTGGCTAGGGAGAAAATGGGTGGGGATGGGAAGGGAGAAGGGGAGTATGATGGGAGGCTTGGGGATGGGGGGAGGAGTTTACATGTATATATCCCGTATCATGGGACGATTGGGTTTGAGAGGAATGAAGGTGTGGATATTGGGGTGGGAGGGAGTAGTGGTGAGGAGTGGGATTTGCAGGGGGTGGATGTGGCTCTCTTTAATAGTTTGTTTGGGGATATGGTGGTTCCCGATCTTGGGGAAGAGAGGTGGGAAGAGTGGGTGGGCGTATAGAGACGAAGAACAAATAGGTAGATACTGAATTATTTAGATATTCGAATATCACACGTGTTCCTGATCTATATCTACCAAGACCTTAAGATCTCTATAGCCTCCATAATCTTCTCCGAAGGTTTAAACAGCATTCCACATATCCCATCCCGAAACAAAGGTACTAACCACCATCCCAACCCCGACCCCCAACTGACCCATTTCAATCAACCCCAAAAAGGTACCGGGAATGAGCAGATCACAAGCATCAACGCAGAGCATCTTCTTCAGTAGCGAGAAGCGGTTAATAGAAGGAGCTTGTTTCTTGTTGTCCTTCTCATCCTTCGTCTTAGATGCAGAAGACGCGGAAGAAAAAAGTATATCAAAAGCAGCACCCAAAATAGAAAACCCCAGCGCATAGAACCAGAATTTGTTCGCTTCTGTTAATATGGCTTTGTTGTAGGGGTTTGGGTAGATGGATGTTGCGTGTAACTTGCATGTTACTTTAGTATTATATCATGGGTTGGATGGTAAGGGAAGGGAGTACACACCAGGGTTAAGTCTTCCAAGAGAAAGTAGCATCCAAAGCACGACCATTTACTTATCTCAATGACTGTCTTGATGACATTGTTCTGAGCGGAAGAAGGGTTGCCTAGCAAGGCAAATGCCCGGTTGAAGCAGTCGATAAAGTTGAAGAAGCGGAGGAAGCGTCGTGCTGTTTAATTCTCAATACTGGTTTATTCTCATGGTGGATGTGGACATTTAGTAGGATTATTGGAGAAAACTAACTCAAAGCAAACTGTGTCTTGGCGACGTTGAACCGCGAAATGGACTCATTTTCCAGAGTGGGTATTTGCAGGGCGAGCACGCAGAGGGATTGGACCAGACGAAGGGTCTTTTCGAGGCCTGGCGTCGTGCGTGTAAAGCGGTATAAGTGGTCTAACATTCTGCTTTCTTTCTATTGCTCTGGGGGTATATGTGCGGGGGTATGCAGTCTATTGTAGATGTGTTATTTGGCGGCGGTGGGTAACGACGCGCTTTAAGTACTAGAGATTAATTAGGCTATTTGCCAAGGGGCTGGTATGGCGGGTACGCGATATCGGCTCGGTATCCGCTTATCTATCATATTCACCCCATCAGGATCATAACGAGGATGATGTACGTGATATGTCACTTTCAATTACACACAATTGTTCAACGCTAATCTATACATCTACAGCAATCACCGACCTCCAGCAATATCCTGTCCCAGCCGGTATCCTCCGACCTTCTCCCACTCAACCTTCTGCCGTGTGATCGGCAACTGTCTCCGCAGCCCCTTGAATACTCCCTCTGCCGTACTAACAAACGCCCGGTTCAACTCCTCCTGGTAATCCCGCTCCGCAGCCGCGATCCGCGAAATGATGGCACTGGCATCCACGGATTGCACCGACAGGTTCACCGGCTTGTTAGTGTTGAGGGCCACGTTGCCGTCTTCATAGTAGTGCACGTCGACCTTGATTTGGCCGGAGATGGTGGTCGAAGAGGAGTTCACGGGGAGGGTGTAGATGGCGCGGAAGCGACCGTTCCTGTCAACAATTAGTATTTCCATCATCCTGAACCTGAAATGGGAGTGTACCAGAAGTTATTAGGCGAGTAGCGGTTCGCAACGAGAACAATGGCCACGGCGGTGTCGTCCTCGATCGGGTACACGCCGTAGCTGCAGGTGCGGTAGTGTTCGGTGGCGTGCGCGGAGAGGGACTTGAGGAGGGATTTGCTGCAATCCTGTTAGATCCACATCGGGTGATTGACTCAGATACAAGGGAGAAGAGCGTACATCAAATCCGCATTCTGCGACTCCAGAACGTATGACTGTGCTGCCGATGCTTCCTATTCCCTGTCAATTCCTTATCTTCCCAATGGCTTGTGTCTACCCACCTGCGTGACATGGTCCACCTCAAACGACGTCTGACTTTCCACATCGAAGTACCGGTTTCCCTCGAGCTTGTTGTATTCGCTGATCAGGACCTAGAGGTTGTCAGGACGGTCGGTCGACCCCACTATCAGGAATGTAGCTGCGTACCTCCTGGCTCGCTCCAGGAAGCTTCACAGTCGCCAGTTGTGTCTCATTGTAGCGCTCAAAGGCCGGTGCGAGGGAGGGGATGATGTCGGGACCGTCGGAGGTGAGAGCCTTAACATCTGTGAACCTGCTTAGTATGGGCTCGAGGCGGGGTACGATGCGGGTGGCACCGATCGAAATGAAGGGTCTGGGTTGCATTGCATACCTGCGACAACGTCCGCGAGCTAATAGATGCTGTCAGCTATGTTCGGGTTCATGCAGGTATAGGAGCATGAGGGGGTAGCTGCCTACCTCGCCGGGCGGGGCACCCTCGATAAAGGAGGATGCGAGTTCGGTAGTGGATGCCATGGATGATTATGGAACGTACTCAGCTGCCAGAGTTGAGTATGTTAAAGGGTAAAGGTAAGCTAGTAAGGGATTAAGCACGAAGGATAGAGGGGCAGTGGATGCTGGGTGAGCAGATGGAGCTCCGATGTCAACACGGAGTTAGCGCGAGTCCCGCCGAGCCCGCACGTGGCCCCTGACCTGCCGCTATCCGTATAGCATTTCTACAACACTACTTACTATATCACTAAGGTCTAACAAGCAACTCTGATGCATTCACTTCAGTATGCACTATAATGTTTATTATAATTAGATATGATGCAGTTAAGCTATGTCCCAAGTATAGCACCAATAAATGCAAAGATAACGCCAAACTCAACCGATCCCGCTAACAGCATTGAATCCTTAGTCGATACCGAAGAATGTTGTAATAGTTATAATGATGTAGACAGGCTCAGCCAACCTACTCAATGCTCATGTTCATGAAGCCATCGCTGGTTTCATTCATCCCATGCAGTCCTACTCGTTTCAGGGTTCCGGTATGGTTGTTACCATTGCGAGGTCCATTTTCGGTGACAGGCCGGTCGGGGAACAGCGAGCCAAGGTTCGATCTTGGTGGGCCCCAGATGCTGGGACTCGTGTCTTTGACCACCGGTGAATTAGGCATGACCGGGCTACTCTGTGCGCTCATGCTTGGCGATACCGCTCGCCGCTTGAAGAGGTTTGGATCGAAATCATCATCCCGACGGCGTTTCCTCCTGAACTCGCCGACAAACCCAGCCGGGGCGCCTTGAGATGCTTCACTGCGCGAGCCGGGTCGTTCGCTCGGTTTAGCAAATTCTGTAGTCGATCCTACAGTGGTAGATGGTGTGATGTCCATAGCGAGGTCATCTTCAGAGACCGATGAAGCTCCATGTCGGCGTTGGGGTGGGGGCGGCGTGCGGTAGCGCTCGTCGAACGAATTCCAGAACTCGACTCCTCCCGAATTTCGGTTTGCCTGATCGATGAATTTTGGTTCGTCCGGTGTCGTCAATCCGGCTTTTGGAGGGATTTCCTCTGGGGTTTGCCCGTGAGCAACAGGAGTGGACGTGTCAAGAGCCGACAAATCACCCAGCGGCGATTTCGCTTCAACGTCAGGTTCGTTCTCTTTGACTTGTCGAATAACTTCCGCTTCTCGCTTGGCCTCGCTATCAATTGGAGCAGACTCCTCCATCAATGCCGCCCGAATACGCGCAAAGGTTTTCGTTTTTGGCTAACAGAGTTAGATGCATCCTATGTTGTGATCGGAATATTGTACTTACGAGTAAGCTCCCACGACGGGTAACGGCCCGTCGAATTACCCCCAAAGGCCCGCCCTCGGAGTTCGACGTGCTTGGGCTCTGCCCACGCGCACCGCGGTTCTCACCCTCGTCGCTGACATCTGAAAGGCGCAAATCCCTCGTGCCCATGCTGAGACTAGCCCGTCGGGCACCTGCGCCAAAATAGCCCCCATTCTGACCTTCGATACTCTTCATCACGGGTGGTGAGAGAGGACCCGGACTCTGCTTGGAACTGCCACTAGCACTGCTGGAGCTGTGCCTGCTTCGTCCCTTACGAAAACGAGCCCGCTGGAAGCTCATGAGACTCGCGGCTGCCTGCGAATAGCCGCCCATCCACTCATTTCCCGGGCTGGACACGTTCCCCACAGCAAATGGACTCATTCCACCTCCCAACCGCTTCGCCTGAGGTGTATTGGTAATCATCATGTCGTCACGGTCGCCAATCATGGGTTCATCATCCTCCTCACTACTGCTTGTATCGGATTCCATCATGTTGACGCTGGATACGGAGCTCGAAATTGTGGCCTTGTCGGCGGGGTTCGAGGTGGAGAACTGGAGGCCAGAGACTGAAGCTGGCGAGCCGCGCCGTTGCGGGATATTTACACCGCGCCCGCCAACCGTCGGGGAGGAGTCCGGGGACGCTTCTGCAAGGGTCGAGTGATGGAGATTGGTGCAAGCTCGCGAAAAGTCCAGGCCTCGGGAACGACGGGGCAGCACGGAGCCCGGCGAGCCGTAGATGGCCGAGGAATCGAGCTTCGGGGAAAGCGGGGCGCGATTGGATAAGGATAAAGGTCCGGAGGATCTGGCAGAGAGGTTCAACGAGAGACTCTGCATGGACGGCCGCTGGGGCGTTTCGGGGGTCGAGGAGAGGGAGGAGTCATCTTTGCTGGGCGGGCGGGAATCATCGTGATTGATCGGCATGGCGGAAACTGGTTTTCCCGCATCGCTCAGCGAGCGAGTATTCGGTGAAGGACGCAATGGAGGCCCAAGTGTAGGTGTGTTTCTGTCGCCGGCATGGTCGGGATCGGTGCCTGAACTGGTTTGCCCGGTCCGCTGCGACAGTTGTTCGCTGAGCCGACTCGCGAATGGGATAGCCCGGCTATGGGATAGAGTTGAAGGGTTGCTGGACGACGTCATGTTTGCAACTGAGACCACTTTTTACACGTGTCACGGTGGCAGTTGTGCGTATCAGACCGCATGGGACATGGTGAGGTTCTCACGAATTTCTCCCGGGGCGGTTAGTTCAGGTGGTAGGCTTCACGATAAGGAGAGGGTTCGAATGGTTGAGACAGTGTGGCGTGGATAAGACGTGGGATGGCAGTTATTGTTATGGTCCGGATGGATGAGAGACAAAGATAAACATCAGCACATGATGGAGAGGTCAAGCAAAGCGCCAGACGCGGTTGAGGCCATCCGCACGCCCATGCCTGCCTCAGGTTGGCCAATCCTCCGCCAGTCCGGTGACGCCCTTGACGTCCTGCCCGCCATTTCCGGCCAATCAGACGTCATCTGCCCCGCCTCTAGGCTCGCCCTATGATTGGCGCGCGGACCCTGATCGTCTTGGTGCCTTAGGCATTAAATATAATCGTCATACTTAGTAGTGGTAGTAGTCTGTCTACCTTCGGTCTAAGTAGTTTAGTGTAGAGCTAGCATCGGCACTTGATCTCATATTCATGATTGGATCCTCCGGTATCTTCGCCATAGTGAAGATCCTATGGCCGCAATGGCTCACATGCACATGGCATCATATTCTGCCGCGGCCTGGAGCGGTCAAACAGGGCGGTCACAATTTATACAGAATGCAGCTCGCCTCTTCCGGAACTGTTCAAACATATATCCGCTCATATCCGCTTATATCCGTACTTTTTCCTGCGAGGTCGACTAGGTTCTGCCGCTTTCGGCGGTCAGAGAAGCGGTCATGATTGGCATTATGGTCTACCAGCCAGCCATCTTACATGCTAGTTCCTAGGACTCTATCCTTACAATTAACGAGGAGTCTAGATCCCAAGGCTTTAATCTGTGATACACTTTAGACCTCTTGTCTGATTGGAGGATTTTCATAAGAAGATCTCATTGTGTGTTTACATCAGGTGGTAACTTTGATCTTATACTACGAGTCTCGGTATTTGCAAACCACCTTCTGCAGGCATCAACCAATGTAGGCTAGCGCCAACAGATCTCTCTGTGGGCGTAATATCCATCCATGATGAAAAGTACAATACTGCTGTTCTAGACCTGTAAATTGCATTCTCATCTGACACCCGGACGCCGTGGATGTTTCTTTTCAACTACTTGCAGTAGCTAACCTCGGCTCTGATAAGGCATGTTTGCTTACCTTCCAACCCCGCTATTTAGTACAACTTGGTATTTTCAATTGGAATTTCCATTTCCCACCCCCGCCTTCTCTGACGCAGAATACCTTATGAGAGGTCCTTCTTTGAGATGATTAGCTACATTGCTACTCTCTCTTATTCGTACATTTGGCTCCCAGTTATATCATACTTATAACGCCTTTCTCAATCAATTCGCTCATACAAATCACTCCCATCATGAACCCCCGAGTAGGCGTAGGTGTTTTCGTCACCAATCACAAGGGACAAATAGTTCTCGGTCAGCGCAAAAGCAGTCACGGTGCTGGTAGGTAATACCCCAACTAGAGTTGATTGATCTGTTTTGATCATATAACGGTACTATTAAGCTCAATTCTGTTTCTAATGCCTCTACACAGGTACCTGGGCCCTACCCGGCGGCCATCTCGAGTTTAACGAATCGTTCGAAGACTGCGCAGCACGTGAAGTACTAGAAGAGACAGGCCTCAAAGTCCGCGACACACAGTTCCTTACAGCGACCAACGATATTATGAAAGAAGAGGGGAAGCACTATGTCACTGTTTTTGTGGGATGCACGGTTGTTGGAGATGATGCGCAGCCGGAGGTTAGTGATATTGCCTCCTAGCCCACGTGTGACCTGGTTCTCCAGAAAGACCTCCGGCTAAACATTCCTTCTAGTTATTGGAACCCCACAAATGTGAGCAGTGGAAGTGGGTGACCTGGGAAGAAGTCACCTCGTATCATGGCGATCCAAACTCCAGCCACAGGCTGTTCATACCTTTGATCAATCTTCTCGAGCAGAGACCGGGGTTTCATCCGGTTAGACGGTGATGAAATCGTTTCTCTAGATGACTTAGGAAGACTTACTGTTGTTTCTATATTACCTAGAGGCTATCAAATACAAGAATTTAATAAATCGCGGCCAGCAAGTTGGTTTTCTCTGTGACTGACTGGTCTTGGCTTCTGGTTGACCTTTCCGGCAATCAAAGCCATGATGAAGCCCAACTCCCATTTCAAGATCCCCATGAAAGCTCTGAAATAAGGTCATGCATTTGGGCTTTCCAAGTTTAACAAGGTTCAAGCATATGCGACTGGTCTCATCATCTATCTGTCACGTATACGGTGTCATTGGTGCATATGCATGACTGGCAGTTTGGGTTACTGTGTATCCCACTTATCTGCCTCAAAACAGCCCAATTTATGGTTTTCTTATATCTGAAACACAGAGAAAGAGAAGCAAGCAGGAGCAATGATACGAACGAACATATAGCTAAATGACAAGCTCATGGGGCTTCCAAAAGGATCTTGCATATTGAATCCATAAAAGACCTAATCTGTGACGGATCATGGTAAGCGTTGTTATAAGAAATCCTTATTTCCAGCTGACCAAGCCGAGACTCTATGGCGAAGACGATCGAAGGATTTGCCGGAAGAGTGATCGCCCAGTAATCCTCTAGTTCGATCTCACCATACGAAGACTGGATGTAGGGCGATGCGTCGCCCATATTGCTGATGATCAGTGTGGACAACACATCATTCGAGACATCGGCGCCCATATCGGCCAAGACATGGGTCATGATCGGTATGTAGGACGACATATTACTTTTGAATGAAGAATAGCATTCCTTCAAAGCTTTGAATGTTTTCGGAAAATCGTGGACGCCGACTTGAATGGGCCACAGTCCAAAGCGCGGTGCCATTGCACGACTACCCAGTTCAGGTGGCCCTTTGCACTGCCCTCGAAGGCTTGAAATCAGAAATGTATTATGCTGGACACCGTCCGGCAGATTGGCTTGGTCCTTGGCAGCCAAGGCAATGGCAGTGTGAGCAAGCGGAGTAAGTGTGAGGCCTAGATTCCGCGCTTTGGCAAAGATAATTTCTGTCTCGTTAACCGAAAATCGGCGTCTTTCAAACCTAAAGGCTAGCTGCCGCTGCGATGCGTCGGGCTCAATTTCTAGGCCTAAGGTTTTTGACGCTTTGGGCTGATTCTTTGGGAAGAACCCTCGGTGATCCTCAACCCATGGTTGTGTGAGCCGGGGGATCGCAGCAGCATCCCGCGTCTCCAGAGGCAGGTTTTTGACCTCATCTCCTGGTGCCCATCGAAGAGTGTCCGTCTTAGGACACGATAGCTCAGTCAGAAAATCGTGGAACCATATAGCGATCCCCTGGCCATCTGCATGATAATGTGAAATATTCAACAGGAACTCGTTGCGGTCCTTGAGATGGAACATATTGGGGAGCTCTACTGGACCCAAGCGATTAAGCACATCTTCAATCCGTTTGGGGGTTTTATTCACGGAGAGGAAAGTTTTCTGGGTCCAGGATTCCAATCCTTTGCTACATGGCACATTGTATATCCAGTTACCGTCGACCACAGAGCTTGCCATCAGAGGATGCTTGTATCGAAGATTCTGCCAGGCCAGTCGCCCCTTCTTGGTCAGCTCCTCCGCTGTGAGAGTAGTCCGGACTTTGGCAACGGCAGCAATGTCGTATGTTCGACGACCAGGCGGGTTGCTGATGACCATTTGTCTCATTACAGCCTCGATGCCGTCCACGGGCCTGGTGTATTGTTTTTCGGATACTCTTCCCCAAGTTTTAGGCATTGATGTAGTGCAGACAGATCGATGAATTTTTGACGGTGTCAATAATCCTCTGCAATTCCATATATCCATTAGCTAATCATGGTCCTAATCCCAAGACAGAGAGCCGCGCTGGCCAGGACAATATCGGGATAGATTGAGAATTACTAGGACAGTAGATTGTACCTCGAATTTATACATGATGAGAGCATCTTTGGGTAGCGGATGTTCCCGTACCAAGAGGGAGGCAACATTTTGCAGGCTCGGTAACAACGCAGTGCAAGGCCTGAAGTGTAGAGTGTTGCTAAGCCAATTCAGCTTTCTTGGGAGTGAGAAATGAACGCAAGATCTGGGTTCGCACTAGGAATCTAATATAGCAATAGGTTTTTTTCCAATATCGATATACGAACCATAGACTAGAATGAACTTGAAGATAGATAGATAGGTCAGCGATGGCGGACCGCACTTAAGAATGGAGCACATTATGATGCCTAGAGCCGATGATGTATCTGTAGGCAATGAGACTACGTATAGTGTACTGGAAGTCAGGCTTAAAGACACATGACCAATCTGCATGCATCTACACCAGGTAAGAAGTCAGCCATTGGAGCCAATAAGATCAACATCGGTCATCATCGACTTTCTCTATTCATCTCACATTCCGAAGATGGTGACACAGCATTGCAGGATTTTGCTTCCCCCTTCCTAAAACACTCAAAAGTCTAATTCAGAACCAACCAATCATACATTAAATCGTGCAGGTCTGCAGCACAATTCAGAGAAGCGAATCCTTTGATGCGAGGTGGAATTTTCTTCAACATTCCTGGAGGCAAAGATAGACTTCTTCAGACATGGAGAGATTTGTGGCCATATAAGGCAAGGCATTACGTAATTTGACTAAACCCAGTATATTGAGTATAGTGAACTCGCCTCCTTACTCTATGATGTCATGCGATGCCAGCCTGGACAACGATACCCTTGCATGAAGCTCACCTACAGTGTCTACCGTGGTACCGATGAGGAAGCTGTATGATAATGTGTTAGATTGATAGGGCAACAAGGCTTTGTTCGGCAAACTGCTGTCCCGCAATCCGCATGCGAGGATATTATTTCCCTCTCAATAAGATCGAATGGTTCTAACAGCTCGTCCGGAACCTTTCTCTGCAATGGTTCTCGCCTGCTACCTCAAACCTATGAGTTGTGCGCAGCCCAGGCATCGTTTCACTGAGAGAATCAAGTATCACTTGGCTGGAGATAGCACTCCCTGACCCTTGGCCAGGCATCCCACAGCAATATCCGGCTCGTGCGAAGACTCTCCGCCTCATTCAAAACATGTACAGGTCTCTACCGTGCGGCCAATAATGCAACAGAAAGGCTTTAGCTATTGTCAAAGTCCAGGCTCTGACATATGTTGTACGCAAACTTTCAGCATCAAGGCAGAAGCTCTGTTTTCCTGGCCACGTCTAGAACCCCCTAATAAACCCACCCTTGCTGTTTCATCCGCGACTACCCGCAAAAGCAACAAGATAAAAGTCTCGAGACTTACTCTCTGTTCAATATCCTGTTGAGCACCCCAAACGGGCATGCTACAGATAGAAAATTCGACTAATGATGTCATGATCATTTTTCTGCAGGATCTGTGAGTCAAAGAGCGCTCAAGCATTGATGTATTCGTCTGGTCAGCCTGGGTACTTTTCGGTGATGGAGAAGATGGTGCTATTGGCTCTTTCATAGATCACATATATTTTACTTTTGAGCTCAAGTTGTACGAGTTTGCCTGAGTCACTGCATGTGAGGCTGACAGCATGTCGCCCGAACATATTTAACCCGACGCTTGTTGGGGCGATCTTCCGCAGTCAAGGCAGCAAGCACCAAAGCTTCATTGTTTTGGTTTCTTTTCAGCCTGTTTTCCGGTCTTCCTCCAAATATTTTCATTGCTTTTTCTCGCAATTCTCTATACTAGAACTGTGGACATGAATTTTCCGGTGATAGATGAGTTTCGGATTAATGAGGATGTTGCTAGCTCAACCGTAGTGGGTAGCAAGGACGAACCATTTGTCAATTCAAAATGTAAGATAACAAAGAATAAAATTATAGGAAGTTGGACATAAGAAACTAAGGAAGCTGCATCTTTGGTCAAACTCGACATAATCAAGCTGATGACGGGAACAGAGCCACCCTGCAGGTCGCTGACTCCAGTCGTACGGCAATCTAGGGCTAAACAAGCAAATAGCCACACGCTTCCACAGCCCGGAATCCGTTCATGGCTTCAGGTTGCGGCGGGCGGAGCCGGTACGCGCTCATCCGCAGATGAACCAGTTCTGTACATCTTGTTGATCATACTACTGCTGATGGTCGCGGTGTGTGTTTCTCCAATCCGTCTGTCTATCTCGACCCACTTATCCAGAGCGGCTTTTCTTGTTGGGTCCCATGTATCAGTGGAGATGACTTTATCTCGAAGTTAAGCCGCGTGTTCGAATTCCAATCTCGCGCTATAAGGGTATCCCAGGACTTCATGCGATAGACCAAGAAGAAGAAAGGTGGTAGCAGCATCATGGTTAAGTTGCTTGTTTTGAGTATAATCAAACTCTGTCCCAAGCTGATTGATGCGTTTGGATAAATGTGCGCAAATGTAGCTCATTTCTGTGTATCTTCTCCTACTCCAGAGGTACTCGATTGCGGTGTGCCATAGCAGCATGTTCTCATGGCTGTATGGCTCTAACTCGGCGTCCACCTGAGCTAGAGAGTTTTGAATACTCCCGAGCGCCATTCCCTCGTACAGGCTGTAGAATCCACCCTCGTCTGTTCTTGGAAATCGGGCTTGGTTGTACGAGATATATGCTTTGATAATGCTGCCAGATGCTCGTTCCATCCATAATGAACGGCAATAAGCATCGAATGCTAAGTAAAGAGGGCGTATTTGGTCCAAGTCCAGCCTTCCGAGGCTTTCAAGCATCAATCTGCGCGGATCATTCTGCGGGAGGCTCTGTGCTGCCAAAGCAACCAGATCATCCCTAATTTTATGTTGTAGCTTCTTGTTTCCCGATCTCCAGACCATAACAAGAATTCCAAGAATGTCTGGAATTTGTCGGTGATGAGAGCACCTCACAACTGATCTGTGTAGAGGGAAGGCCTCTTGTAATAATTCCTGAGCTTGGTCATTTTGTCCCTCTCTAAAGTGTTTCAACGCATGGAATATCCGATTATGTAGCTTACTGAGCTCCATCACCTGAGCTTGGAAATCCGGGCTCCTAGCATAAAGACCCTGATGGTTTGGCGCCCATTTACCAGTGTCAAAAGAGGACTCAAAATGAATTCGAGTAGCGAAAAGAAGGTACTGGAAGTCTCTGAAAGTGGACGGGTTGCTGAGAGCGGTGATATTGAAAGGTAGACTGATTCTTGTAGTCTTTGAAGAAGTAGCCTTCTTCTTTTTCTTCGGCTCTTTCTGTTTTCTGCGACTATGCTGGGTAATGTCATGATTATCTTGAAGCACACCATTCTCAAAAATCAGACAGTGTCCATCATCAGGCGTTTGACTGAGGATAGTTTGAGCGTCAGCGGCGCTCTCGCTGCGGATGTTTTTATAGATTCTCAAATTACGTAGCAAGGTTTTCCATTGGTTCATCCTGGCAGGATGAATTGATAAGTATAAGCGTATAGTTAACATCTGTCCACTTACGTCAACCGGGGTTCCAGTTCCAATTTCTCAAACTCGAGCTTGGCCTGTTCGTGCGTCAAGCCTTCGGTGACAAAGAGTCGAAAGATGAGCGAGCGGTGTTTTTCGTAGGCCTTTGCGCGTTCCATACTCGACACCGAGAACACAATTTGTTCCACCTGTGCTCGTGGGTAATTAGATTGTGTTATATGCTCTGGTAATACACGGAATGTTGCTGGAAGCGGTAGAGAAAGGAATTATTGACTATATTGTTGGATCAAGATGTAGGAGGGACATCATTTGAGTCATCTGATTCAGATAGCTCCTTGTTCAACTGATTATGAGGCTTCAACTTTCTGGCTTCTTGCGAGCTAACACCAAATGAGCGCCAGCCTCATAGGATGACTGAGGAAGCCAACACCAAACACTTTGTCCATTTTGACGTGGCACCAATGTCCAGTGAGGCTTGCTATCGGACGGAGAACGGTGGCGTGGCAAGGCTCGATTGGCCGACTGGAGAATAGCATGGCGCTAATGCACGACACTTTTGTTCGCTTGTTTCGCAAGCTAGTCCGTATGAAGCAGTGGCCTGTCTGATCAGCTCAACTTATTTCTTGGCGGCATCAGTTGCTCGAGTATACAGCAAAGAGGGGTTACATTCACCTTGGGTATTGAAGGTTATAAAATGTCTAGAAGGCTGTATCTTCCTGACGTGTTCCTCTTCTCAATCATCTTCCTTTCTGCTCTCAAAATCACAAAGCAAGCCGACATTTCTATCATCTTAAATCTTATCCTTACCTTGACCTTCCTATTATATCTATCCAAGACCATATCACCATACAATTCCGCCGACAATATGTCTACCAGTACCTCTGAAAGTGCTTCAAACCTGCCTGTGCCTCCGCGTCAGAATGTAGACGCACACCACCAGGCATGGACCGACTGGGCGAGAAGAGCCCCAGGACAAAAGCTCACCTCGGAGAAAGAGAGACACGCCTTAGCATGCGCGACCGAGATACAGCAAGCTGTGAGAGCTGGCCATATCAAACCCGAACACGCCCGCAAGGCCTACGAAATAGTGATACTGACCGCACATCGCGAGTCGGATTTCAACCCGGGAGCTAAAAACCCCAAAAGCTCGGCCACCGGCATTCTGCAACAAACCAAGCAATTTCATCAGCGGAGTCCGCTGAATCCCGCGAGTGTCCGAAATGTGCCACTCACAACGGAACAGCGCATGAATGTAAAGACGTCTGTTGGGTTCTTCCTCAGGCAGCTCGCACACACCCCCAACTGGCATGAGATGAAGATACAGGATGCGGCGCATCAGGTGCAGAAGTTCCCTCTCAAGGACATGCACCGCTATGCCGACCCCGAGATCACTAGGGAGGCTGTCTGCTTGGGTGGTGCTTTATTTCCCGGACAACCTTCGATGATCAATAACGCGGCTTACTCGGATCAGGAGAAGGCTAAACTCAGTTGTCCCGATCCCAGTCGCTTCGGTTGTCCTGTCGGCACCCCCGATGAGGGCACCCCCGAGCCATCGGAGCAAACAACTGGCGACGGGATCCGGTTCCCCGAGGTTCATTTGCCCTCGGATGTTCCACCTATCGACTTGGGACCAAAAGATCCCATGCCAAAGGAGGCACGCCAAAAATGGGATCACGCGGTAAAGACGGGCAGTATAGATCCCGGGACTGCGATACTCGGAATGGGGGGAGGGGCGGCCCTGGGAGCAGCCACGGCAGGAGGTGTTACTGTCGTCCCAAGTGGTGCAGGACTAGCTCTTTCATTCAACCTCCTTCATCCTGCAGGTCAAATCGGTGCCTTGGTAGGGCTCGGCGTTGCTGGGACGTGGTGGGCATATGATTATTTCACTCGTGACGACGTTGAAACCCAGGGGCCCTCTGAACACCAGAAGAAATGATAGTTTCACTTATCAGTCGTTCATCATCTTTGTGATGTCGTGATGTCAAGGCTGGATTGTTAGGGAGTATGACAGGCAAACGTGGACTAGAAGTGGAGGAACGGGACAGGGAAACATCACTAGTTAGTTAGGGTGCAATTTATTCAGGTTTTTCGCTCAGAGCATTTATTTTCCGCTCACTCCATGCTTAGCGATCCCTTCAGGCCGTTCAAGGTGTGCTCAGGTGTACTCATTTAGCAAAAAGTGGCGAGAGACGAGCACTAAAACAGAAAGCGAAAGTCATCGTCATGGCTTGAAGATCAGTGCATATGCAGCAGCAAATATAGGCTGAAGACCTGAACAAGGTGAGAATAGAGTATGAGGTAGAAAACAGAGTACAGCTAGACTATAATAGTTGAAACATTCAATAAAGATTTCTAGCTGAATACTAGACAGCATGGCCTTGACTATCTGGTTAACAAGGCCTAATAGTGAAATAATATATTGACGTAGTCAACATACCGGTGTAGACTCAGAGTTTGAGAATTATCAGTACCATTCTGGACAATTAGGAAAAAGGTGATAGTCTAAATCCTTGTAGTAAAGATTATGAGGAGAGTTGGGACTTTTCCCGGTGTCTAATGTGAGGGCCTCATGTACTTGCTGATTAGGAGCACGTCTTTAGATGGGTAACTACTCGAGAAAGCTATAATCGAATCTTTCTACAAAACATAGCGCGAGGGAAACAAAAGTTTGCACATCTAACTGGCTTGTCTTCCAGTCAGCTTACGCGTCTAAGGCCCACTATCTCTGTAGATAAGGACCGGTGGGGTGGAAACCACCAGGTTGCCATTTTACGCGCCTGAATATCCGTCACTCATACATACAATTGCTACAAACAAAAATCGGTCTCACCATCATTAACACTGTCTTGCCTGATATGTTTGATCTAGTCACCGCATTCGCAATCTTCGCCCTTGTGCTAGGGGGCCGAGCAGCCTTGGCTTCGCAACGGTCCTTTGGTTTCAGTAGAGGACAGAAGATTGCTTCTTTCTTTTCTCTTATCCTCTATCTCTGCGGTGTCAGTCTTTTTGTGTGGGCACTTCTATGGCGAGGTGTGATGATCTAATATGGTCTCTCCGTATCTGGCTCAACGACTCATCTTGTGGCAGGTCCCATATGCTTGAAGCAAGAACATTTGGGGCACATCTTGGCGCAGATCAAGAAGCTCTATGCTAGCCTTGGTAGAGCTTCTAGTATTCTTTTGTTGGTTTCTGCAGGCCTTTTTGTTCTCGGACTTTGCTTGAAAGTGGCAGTCTTCATTAAGCGATGTACAGTGACTGCCTTCCACCATGACAAGAATTACCATTGACTTTTGGCCACAGATAGCATGGCCCGGAAGGTGTCAGACAGCCGCAAACCGGTCAGGAACTCTAGTGACAAGCAATGAATGAATTCGATGTCCATGCAAAGATGAAGATAAGATATGGAGATAAGGACACTGGGCTTTGGCGGAACTGGGGTTTTCTCAATTGTAGGCAAAGAAATGTGGAAACACACTCAATCGAAGTGGAATAGAAGTAAAGTTCCAATATCCTGGATATTGTAAAATTATAGAAGCACTGATGTCCAACGCAGCTGTCTCGGTCGATAGGGATAGACTGTCAGCTCGGCAGCCAACTGCTAGGATAGTAAGACTAATTAACCCCTAGCAAGAAGACAAAAGCCCGCCAAAATTCTGGTGCCCTCTGGCCATTGCCATGGTTCTTTTGGGAAAGATTTCCAACAATATCGGGTTAACAAAGTCTGACAATGCTTGGTGCTGTTCTCATGACCCCTACCAGCCTTTCCATGTTCTGGCAATCCTCCATGCTGCGTAGGTCTTCGGCATTTGGGTAAAGAGCCGGTATCCAGACCGGCGGAACAAGTATGATTTTGTTCTTGGGGCTTCTTTGACTACCGGTGTTGCAATGGCCAGACTTGTACAGTTCTTTGCCATCACAAACGTGAATTTCATGGTAAGCAAACACGATTCTAATATCTTTCATAATACTATCTCTTTCCATCCTCACCGTGTTTCCCGTGACGAGAGGAAATGCCGGAAAAAGAAAAACAGTCCAAAATCATGAGCCATGATCATGAGCCATGATCAACTGCACTTTAGTACTAAATATCTAGTACAGTTGTTTGTTCCATCTATAGTTATATAATCCCATACTAGAAGCCTCTTGTCGCAGTTCTACCAATATAGTATGTTATACAACGTAGTTCTCTACACTTTTCAGATCACATAACCATCGAAGAATTCAATCATTCGCATTCATCCACTAAAGGAGTATCCACTAAATTAAGGCTCTGATGGTGAGCCATAAAGAGGTCACAAGATATAGCATAGGGTCAGGTGATTAGAAAATTCTTCAGACTGGAGTGAATATCCAGTGTTAATTCACTTCTCACAATCCGCTGTGATAGAAATTTTCCCCAAACTTGATCAGTCTTATACGTCTCAAGAAATCTCATAATATTTCGGCTACGCGTTCTCACCTTGTGTTTCGAAACCTGCGCAGCCTTAGAGACTCAGATACTGCACCTCAATTATTAGTTACCAACCCCTCTTGTCCTGACTTCACCCAATCTGACAAGAACAAGTTCACGCTAAGAAGAGCGCTATTTATCATCAATGTCAATATGCTCGACAGACTACCCCCCGAGGTTCTTCTCATAGCACTGGAAGTAAGTGAATATCTGCGTCTAATGGCCTTAATAGGTCTTTTTTCGAAGCAGGCTGACTTGTCACAGTACATAACACGCCACGATCTCAACAACATATGCCGTGTTTCCAAGCACCTCTACGCTATTGCAGTTCCACTTCTATACAAGTCTGTAACTTTAAGTTCCAATAGACCTGGAATCAGCGAGACATGGCACCATGTTGACTCCCTACTCCGAGCACCTGCTTTCCCAGTTGATTCGCTAGTGCACATGAGAGATATCAAGATTCAGGAAAACCGCTTCTGGCCTTGGTGGGGGTGTCACCACAGCTATACGATATTGGACCAAGACGATCCGGACGATTACAAAGAAGCTAGAATAAGAAGGGATGAAATACGCTATCTGTCTTCCAAGCTACTGCATATGTTTTCAAGATGTGCGGCGGATAGGCTCCAGAAATTCAGGTAAGCTTGTGGTATAGCGCTTGCGCAAAGCAAGACCAGCTAAGAAAGGAAAATTATATTGCAGCTGGGATGTAGGAACATGCTTGCCTAGCGACATTCTTGGTAACTCTGGATATCTTATTCAGAAACAGTGCAAACTTAAAGCTATCCATCTACGAACAGGTAGCTATTGTGCCGCTGGCGGCAGTGATATCTTGCTATCAAAGTTTGCGTGTTTAAGAAGCATCTCATGGCCTGACCTATCTTATAAACATCATGCTCGTGAACTGTGTCTAGCACTGAAGCTGAATGCGTTCCACCTTACTCAAATTGACTTGGGAGTCACGGATGTATCTGGTGATGAAGTAACGCAATCCATACAATCAATGCTTGCCAAAGAGATCTTGGACATGCACGACGGGAGAACAACCTTTCAGTTTCCCGTTCTTCAATAAATTTCATTGTATTACATGGATTTGACACCGATTTCCCATGCACTTTCATCTATCCTCAACATCACCTCACTTCTATCCTTGAGTCTGCGTCTATGCAAATCCTGGGAGTATGCCTTACTCAATTTCCTCAACTCTGGAACCAGAATCGCCTTGAAGTCTTTGCCGCTGGAGACGCATATGAGCCGAGCTGAAGAAGAAAGTGTTCTTGCACTACCAGCTTTTCTTAAGTCATTCGAGGGACTAGAAGAGTTATACATCTCGGTCTGTTGTTTCATAAGCCCAGTCCCTGTGTGGCGTTCTGTCCTTACTCACAAGAAAACATTAAGAAAACTCGTATGCCAGCAATTACACATTGACGGATGCTTTTACGAAGAATATGGTCTGTACTTGGGTGCAACCGGTTTTCTTGAGCAATTGACGGGTGCTGACCAAACTCCATTCGTCGGTCCCAAGCTTGAGTTTTTAGGCATCTCCAGCAATGTTTTCAATACCCTGGTACGCGTCAACTTTATTCGAATTCTTAACTGCTTTTGCAATAATAACTAATACATTGATCATGTTTTAGAAGTCTATTCTGACCTCGCCAGGTCTCAAAGCTAATATTCGTGTTCTCCATCTGAGGCGGTGCGAAGGATATTACGATCAGTCATACTTGATAAACTTAGACTGTTGGGATGATATCAGCGATAAGAAGCTGCCATTGTTTCATCAGTTCCTGACATGGGCCTTTGGACCCGAAGGCCCCCCTGAACTTCAAGCGGTGGGGCATTACGCCTTCGAATTCATGCAGTCTATGAGCGATGTGTTCTACTTTAGAGATGCACAGAACGAGTATGGATTTCGTTGCGTCATTCGGCGCCGCAGGCAACGATTCGATTATAATCGGCAGTATGGTGATGCTTTAGATGCATGTCGGCACGAGGATAGCTTATGGATTGACGGACCGACGGACTGACGGGCTGACGGGCTGATTCGGTAATTTACTTGATGCCTACGGTGTAAAGCCTTTGAGAGGCAGACTCAGATCTGACAATAGTCCTTCTTTTTCTTATCTGGCACAGAAGCTTAGTTGCAGCATCAATACCATTGAGGGTTGAATAAAGCAGAGGGTGTGCAACACAAAACAAATTTCAAATAGTGATCAATATCAGAAACTTTGCTCAGATGCGTTTAGTGGCTATCTATATCTTCTTATTGAGGAACCCTCGGTGGTATCCCACCTGGCGTATTATTTATATTGATGTATACTACAGTTACTACCTCATTTCCCTCTACAAAGGGGTCAATAATTCTATTGTCCGCACATATTCCTGTATTGGATGGAAATTGATCAAGCTTGGGAATAGTGTATGTATCTCATAGCTCTGCTCTATATTGAGTCAAAATGCAACCAATGAAGAGCCAATTATTACCAGTTAGACTTCCATAACTCACAAGGCTATGCGTACGCCTTGCGGGATTTATCCTCCATCCACACAATGGTAAGTGGTGTCTCAGTACAGTACGTGGGGCGTCCAATAAGGTGGCCGCTATTTGAGGATCCCTGTCAGTACCAGGTTGATTCCTGAGAAGACTAGGCTGAGAGGAACGCTTATGGACATCCAGCCGACAGGCAAATCCCCCCTTTCCCCAGGGCTCTTTTCTTCCTCTCCCAAAAGCTCACCAACCTACTACTCAGCGCCAGCTCCAACCTTTGACCTGTGCCTTGTACGATCAATCAAACCGTCGGGTCTCCATCAACCATGACATCTCCTCCTGAGAGCTATAGAAATTTCCATCCACACGGCAGCCGATCAGAGATTCTACTCCTACCCCCGCGCAATGAATTCATGACTTCTCACCCCTGGACAGCAATGTACCTCATCTCGCCACCCCTTCCACGCGGAGTCTCCGCAGTCCAATTCAACATCACGAGCCACGACCAAGGATGGTGCAGCGATAGAAGCCAGGGCATCTGGTCATGGTTCGATGTATCCATCTTGGGCTGCTCTGAGCGAGGTGGTGGTGAAGACTATCCTTCTTCCTTTTTTTCTGACTTGTCGAATCCTTCATATCTCAAGTCTAGACCCGAAGATTTCCGCCAAGTTCTGCAGGACCGGGGGTTGCGTTTCAAGCATATCCCCAAACAAGACCCAGATGCAGATCCAGCCAAGCCGAGGAGTATTGTGAAGCGGGTAGCTTCGAATAAGATCCAGAGGTCCTGGCAACAGCATGTTATATTTTGGAGATTGGAAGATGGTGGTGAGGAAGCTGGGTTCCTGTCTCGTCTTGAAGAAGGGGATCGGTTGGTCGTTTGGGCTCGCACACAGGTATATATATCTATAGTAGTCTTTTGATTGATAGACGATTACGGGTGGTGCTGATTATCATGCTCTGATAGTTTTCTGGATGGATTAACTGTGTGAAAAGTGTGGAGATAAAGGTCTCGGTTGATGAGGTGAGTTGTTTTCAGATCAGATGTGTGGGCATAGTTACGCTATCTGCTGACACTGGTTAATGTATGTAGACGACTCTTAATACCCTTCCTGCAAGCGGTGGTGATTCTGAAACGCGTCAAGGGGACACATTCAATGGTGGTTTGTGAGGGTTAGCTTTGGGCTTCGGGTTCGTATATACCTATGTGCTTATGTTTGTACATCTTGATGATCGCTATATCTACTGGTAAGAATACAATCTACGCGAGATTTGGAATGTTATTTTATGGGGCGCTTTTTTCCGATATTGAAAGTCAGCTGGGCATCATTATGCCGTTACGGATAAGGCGGTAAAGTAGTTAATATGTCCAATTTATCAGTCTGAGTCATTCACTATACATTGAAGCCAAACACAATCCCAAAACCAGTATCCCTAATTCTACAAAAGCCTTCCAAGTCATATAGTCATTCAATGGATCAAAACAAAGCGCTATGTCCTCCTTTTTCTGTCCACCGCAGCTGCATAGCATATGTCAGGGGTGTTCCGTACATCCGACACTTCCTCGATTCTCCAGCAAGGCGTCTCAAGCCAAACTCATCGCCGTACTAATCGGTGCAACATACCACTCCCAATCATTACAACCCGAACCACCATCCTCCGCCGCATCCACCGGCGAGCCCTTCAGCATATCACTATCCCTGGCCTGCCATATCTTCACGATGACAGCTCTCGTCCTTGCCACGTTCGAAACACTCGACTCAGCCATAGCCGCCAACGCACGCAACACCAACGGCCGGCCATATACCACGCTCTCGCCAGTGTCATCGCGCCAGACCTCATCATGAAGCGGGTCCAGCTCAACGGCCGCTACGAAGACAGGCCAGGTCATGCTGACGAGGGAGCCAGAGTCAAGCAGGTGAGATACGAGGCGCAGGATGCGTCGGACGTAGCCGATTACCAGTGGTGTGGAGGGTGATGCGCCGTATAGTGCGCAGTGAAGGTATAGCACGGCTGCTAGGCGTTTCAGTTCAGCGGCGGAGCGGAGGCTTCCGTCGTCGCTATTTTCGTCATCGTCGGTTGTTTCCTGGACGAGTTTCTCGAGTCTGCGGCCTAGGGAGGCGGCGCGGTGGGAGAATGCTTTGCGTGCGGCGTCAGATGTCAGTTGGCGTCTTGTTCGGCTCAATTCTGTGATTGAGGAGAGGATGGAGACTAGCTCCGGGCTACAGCCCATCCAGAGGTCAATGTGGCGGTTGTTTTCTTGCCAGTAATCTGTTCCGAAGAGGACTTCTTCGCCGCAGGCAGTGCGGCCCATGACGTCTTGGAAGGCGAAGAATAGCTCGGCAAAGGCGGAGACGGGGTCGAGGGATTGGCGAGGTCGAGAGGGGATTAGTTGCTGTTGTTGTCGGCGGATGCGAATCAGTTCTTTGGCGCCTTTTAGGTGGATTGTCCAGCGTTGGTCGCAGTTGTCCACAATCTCATAGAGACATAGCATCATCATGATTGCTAGGACCTCAGGGTCTGCGGAGCAGAGGAGTGAGCCTTCGGTTGAGAGGCGATAGCGGAGGCCCCGTAGGGCTTCGGACTTGAGGCGGAGCCCAATCACGCTGTAGGTTGAGTCGAAGCGGGACCAGTGACATGCCCCGAGAGCTTGAATGGCTTTGAAAAGAATGGGAGATGCGGACATGCAGAAGGGAAGGATGATCGAGGCGAAAGGGGAAGATAGCTTCGAGCTAGCGGTGGTCCGGGGACACACTTGTTGGAGATAGTAATCAAAGAGGCGACCCTGATTGGAGTCCGATAGACTGGGGAACATCGACAAAGGCGGGGCCAGGTGCGGGGAGACAAGTGGGACAGGCGAGCAGTAGTCGGAGAGCTCACGTATCGAGGATGGAGACGACAACGACGATGGTGATAAAGACCAGTCTGCATTCTCATCCAACAGGTCATCCAGCGCCGGGCTCTTCCCCTTGTCCCGGACAACAAGGGCATTCAACTCATCACAAGCAACATTAACCTCATAAGGCTGTTCAAAAGTCGACACCCCACTATTGACAAACCCCCACGACTCGATAAGCGGAATAGGACACCATTCCTGATCGCGAAGGAGGAACGCAGCCGAAGACTTTCCAGGAGGAGGAGGAAGTCCGCCGGCAGCCCGAGCCTTACTCCAAACGCCGGCTCTACCAAAAGCCAAGCCGCGGCTAACGAACTCGGACTCCCACTTGAGAACGAGTTGGGTCGAGCATACTAAGCCCTTCTCAAGACATCTGGTGCAGATCGGCTTCTTCAGATCGCAGCGGACTCGACTGGCGCGGCATTCTTTACAGCCACTGCGGCTTCGGGTCTTGACCGGACCCACGCGGTCTGCAGCCTTCTTGCGCGGCATCCGACTAAGGGGAGGGGCGTCTTTACATGGCCGGGCAAAGGTCCAGAGTAATAGAAGGAGGGGGAAACCTTCTGGCTCCGGGTTGCAGGAGCGAAAGAGCAACGACACTCTTCGCTCGGAGGGAGAGGTGCACTCTCGGCGTCGAGGCCACCACCAGCCGTGGCGAGATCACAGCGGACAGCCCCGAACGGTGAACCCAAGAGGGGCAACGGTGGGCTTGAGATGATCCCTGTAATGAGCACTCGGATTGGCCTGGCAAGCTGACCGGATAAGAGCTGCCGTGGCTTAATCTGAAGAAGCTGCGAGGCTTATCGAGACTATGACTAGTGACTTAGTTGGTTATCACAATCCCCGAGGGGATCATGGCGCTGATAGTTAGTTATGACTAATGCCTGACTACACATGGGGTATTTCCGATAACAGGAATTATGCATTATTCCGCTCCGAAGGAGCCTTGATCTATAGGGCAGACCAGCTTTCTGCTAGCTCTTAATGCCGTAAAGTGCGCCCATTTTCCATCAAATGGCCTGCTGGCCCAATGGTAAGGCGCTTGACTACGGATCAAGAGATTGCAGGTTCGAGTCCTGCGTAGGTCATTGGTTATTCTTTCCATCAAGCCCGGGTGGTCTAGTGGTATGATTCTCGCTTAGGGATTTAACCCAAGCATATCTGCGAGAGGTCCCGCGTTCGATCCGCGGCTCGGGCCTTGAAAAAGATAACCTTCATTTTTTTGCTTTATTTCTTTTGTTTTGCTCTTTTTTGTGGAGGGTGAAGGAGGGAGGGGTGGTGTAGGAATGGTTGATTAAGTGGTATTAGCCACTCTGACTAGAATTGCAGAGACATCTAATGACGTAAAAACACATTTCAAATGTTTAGTACAGGATAATAGGTGGGAGTCAGCGGCTACCATAACCAATATCGAAGAATGAATGAGAGCTGGATAAATATATATATATTCTGTACTACCAAGGAGTGGGACAAACTAGCTCAGAACCCAAAGGTGAAAAAATGCTAGCGAGTGCTAGGAGACAGTCTTTGATAATATCTCTGGCCGTCAGTGACTCAGTAAAAGTGCCAATAGACGCGCTATAATTAATAATAATAATAATAATAATAATATATCCTGTACCAGATGGGAGCTTAGGAAGTTTCTGTACAGGACATAGATAGTTCTTCGTGATCGCAAGATTTTCTAAAGTTATGGGACAGACATATCTTGCAGACTATATTTCCTTATACTATGCACGCTTAATCATGATTTTCCATAAGTATCTGCGTCAAGGGTATATATTACCTATATCTTGCTCAATAAATATCTGCATTGCCTCTGGCAGTCTTTCTAGAGGCTCAAACAAAGTTTAACAGAATCAATAAATCAACCCAACGCTTGAAAAAAACCATGTATCGCTTCATAAGTACGGTATACATCCCACACGAGCTTAGCTAACCTTTTCCATCCACCGAATAACCTCTTGTCGTGGCATGATTTGCTTTTATACTCCTCACGACCATGTCGCCGGCCCAAAAGTCTCATTCCCCTTCAACTCCAGCCATGGAGTGCCCTTGCTATCCACCGTCCCATTATTGACTGTGTTACCCCACCAGTTGAAGGTAATCCCCGGGAATGTCAGCGCGAAGAAGATCACAATTGCTCCAACGGCAACTCCTGAATCCAATGCTGCAGACAACACGTAGTTGTACTTGGCCCACCAGTGAGGCTTACGGCCTTTAATGATCTATAGGCGGTCAGAATGTCGCACTTCATCATAACGTGAAGATAGATGATTCACCTTGTTGAAAATCAGACTGACTACAAACGCCGTGGAGTAGTTGATACCCGTCTACCGTCGCAGTTAGCATAGAGAAGCACTCTTGACAAGGGGGTTTTCCATACAGCAGGAGGCAAGTTACCCGTGCCGGCAAAGAAAATCGGCCAGTGGATGGCATCCAGGAATCGGGACTTGGGGTACTTCTTGCGCAAGGCATAGGTGATGATAGGAAGCAGTGCTCCGATCCAGAAAAAGTGCAGAAGACCGGAATAAATCTTTCCGATATTGTATAGCCTGGTAGGTCCAATAGCTGTAGCATTGTCAGTGAACTCCTGCGCAAGCCGATGAGAGCGACAGAGTGGCCATACCTCCCCATAGAACGGCACTGTTGTAGTTGACCCGACCCTGCGGACAGGTAAAGTTGTCCGCTTGGTCCTCCGAGCACACGTCTTGCACATTTCCAAGCATCCAGAGCAGGACTCCGTCTTTTCGAGTCAGCGGTCTGCAGTCAGAAAGTGGATGTATAGAATTCACTCACTCTGCGTCAAAGTTCCCAGAATGCAAGCAACCAGCTGGGCAACGAAAAGAGTTCGCCGCGGGATCTTCATGTACATTCCAAGCTACAGATATTCATCAACAGGAGACACTTATCAAATAGATCCGGAGGCCCAACCAACCTTCATGTCTGCGCCGTAATACATGGCTTGGCTCAGCCCAGTGTACGCATAAAACTATCATTTGTCAGTCATAACTTCGCAGATGAGATGTCCTGACCTGAGATCTCACCTTGAATATCAAAAGAACGAGCGGTTTCCCTTTCAGCAGATAGCCGGATACGATCTCTCCCAGAACGGTCAGACAATTGCTGTTAAGGTTTGCCACGGCATATACTGTTCCGACTGGTATCACATAAATCGCTGCCAGAGCCAACGTGATAAACAAGCCCCAGAAGGGAAGCCCCGTATGCCAGACATACTGCGTCATGATCGCAAGGGCAACGATAACAACCTTTAC